TAAGTAGTACTGTCTGTTAGGATTAGCGAGATGATAACACTGTGAGATTTGAAAAGGCTTGGTTGTGACGTTAAGTTGGTGTAATTTCCGGCGAAATTCGCTTCTAGCGATTTTTACGCGTTTTTTGCATCTCTGCAATGCAGAAAACGCATACTGACGAGGGGTTGTCTGTAAGTGTCTGCGTGTCCGTCTGTACCGATCTTTCATCTCAAAACCGATCTTTCATAAAAATTACAGGGCTGAAACTTTGGGAACTTAATCTGCATGTGCGACCCCTGGCCCCAAAATGGACGCTCTTGCGCGTGACACCCACATGCGGGCCCGCCAAAATTTTGATAGGGAATCTGCTAACTCGGGAACCAGAAAAACTAGAAAGCTGAAATTTTAAGATGTTATGTAGGTATTAGTGAGCTGAAATTCAACCCCCAGATATGCGTGTTTCACAAGTACGGGCCCGTGCCCGTGAAATTTTTTTTTCGGGTAAGTTGTTTACTCGGGAAATTGAGGAGCTAGAGGACTGGAATCTTGAGGGGACGTTCTCTGTCCAAGCAGGCATTAATGAATTCAAACCCAGCCCTCGGGTAAGCGTGGTTCCCACGTACGGGCCTGTGAAAGTTTTTTTTCGGGTGAATTGCTAACTCGGGAAACCAGGAAAGCTAGAAAGCTGGAATTTTAAAAAGATGCTTCCTGACAGTCCTGACATCCAGTCTCAATTCCTTTAGCCAGAAGCATCTGCCGAAAAAAAAACAGTGCCGTTAACGACAAAAGTCTGCGTGGAACTATGCAAAAAACTCATCTTCGCACCGGCAGTCGGTGCGCTGACCATTAATTTATATGTTCATTAAATTCAAAATGGATGAATAAGTTGGTGGATGCATAGCTTACTTGAGTACCACGTATGTAATGCGTGACATGAATACAAGCCAAAACAGGGCGCATTTGAAGTCGAGCTGATCCTCCCAGTCGTCGCTCAGTGGTGCAGGCAGTGTCCATTCCGTGTACGGCTTCATCCCGCGGTCTTCTAGCTCGTACTCCGTTTTGCATATTTGACAGCGCTGAATGGTAATTTGGAAACGCATCGATAATAAAACTCTTTGTTTCTGCCCCCTTGAAGCAGTCCGGCTTTAAAACCAGTGACACCTTGTGCTTCCACAATCGCTAAACCGATTTCCTTCAGTACTGATGAAAGTTGCAAGGGGAATGAAGGACGAGAAATGGTGGGATAGAAAGGTGGGAAGGGTAGGGAGACTGTTCGTAGTTTCGCAAATCTGTGGAGTTCACCGTTGGTGGCCTTTCAGTTTCTTCCATTTTCATTTGTTTAGTCATACTACTTTCGAATCGTGTTTTTTATCGAAATATTCCCAAAATCACATAAGATTTAACAAAGAATTTTGTGATGGTGTTGCTTGGGATTTACTTTTGGCTTAATTTTCTCAAGAACTAAGAGATGTTGTACTTTTAGAGGCATACTTTAAGCTGTTTGATACTTTGCATTGCTGACTACTCTTGAGTAATAATAGCGTTCTAGCTGAGCTTTGAGACTACTGTTCCTGGCCAGTTGTGCTGAGGGCGTCAACAGTCGGAGTCCGTTGAAACATACTCGTGTGTGCATCACTTCAAACCAATGCTGCAGACATCGTTCATGCACAAATTCTACGGAACCGCGGCATTCACACGGTGAAATCATGTTGATCTCGTTGTCTTCTTCCAAACATATACGACAGTTTAGCCGTCTCGAAGAGGATATTCTGCAAACTGAGCTCTTTGAGCATCCTCCTCTCTCGGAAAGCATTCAATTATCTTGAATTTTCAATGCCTTTTCGAAGGACTCAAAATGAAATTAAATTTGCTGAAAGATTGCTATGGTATTCTGCTCTTAGTCGAAATCAGTTCCATTTTGGTACATCTGACAACTTGTATTTTTCCCCTAAAAGACCGAATCGGGCATCTCATCGTAGGAATGACATCGGGCTGGGCGTCGTCAAAGCACGGACCCCGGCCGCTTCAAGGATGTCATGAAGGCGCCTTTTTGTAGTTGGATCAAACATCTGCACACGCATGAAAGAGCAAAACGTACACTGCACAACGTGCTCGAGAGAACAACATTAATGAAAAGAAGTAAAATGAGTTCTGTTGTTCTGTGTGTCGCTTGGTCTGGTCTACTGCGGTGGCGAATCAGCATGCGGAGGGCGAAGAGTTGCTAAGAATTTTAAATGCTAGATGGGTACCGCCACGAAATGGCTTGGATTTTGCTTTTGTCACGGGAAAGCAGTCGAAATCTAGATCCCTAGGGCTTGTTTTTCCTGAATTTTTTTCTTTTTTTAATCGCTTAGGCATATCAATAGACTAGAAGATGCAAGAAAAGCGGGAGAAGTTCCACCGCACAACCACTCACCGTGCACTGAGCAAGAACTCATCCCGACAAGTGACAAGAGGTGATGCGGACTCCGAGCGCTCTTCCAGCTGCACCGCCATTCGGAGTGAGAGCAGTCGACTGCTGCTCGTTGACAGTTTTTGGCTAGTAAATGACTTCTACACGAATAATCTTGTCATTTTTATATGCACCGTTTTATGCAAATATCCTGCACGGGAGGAGATTGCAAGAAAATATTTTGCATCAGACGGTGCAATTTATGCACCGGGCATATGCTACACTAGCAGATTTTGGTTTTATTTAAATACAATGTTGAATTCGAGCGTTACTATTCTTTTGAAGTTCTGGGTACTTGTTGCTTTGTAAGAATAATACCAAGCGTACGAGATGAATTTAAAAATGGAGCATCGCACTTGGAGTGGGAAAATGCTCCAAAAATCTCAGCTTTTTAGATTCACCGATTGTTGAGTTGAAAGTGGGTGACAAAAATGCAAACATACAAACATGCACATACATAGACATACACATACGTATACACATTTCGTCAATATGCTTTTTGCATTTACATAAATGTGCAAAAGCGCATAAAAAGTGCCAGGTGATGGAGGTCGCGATCAAATCTGAACTGAACAACAGATAATGCAGCCATGATCACACAGCATTTACGATGCTAGCATTAGACTCCAGAGGGAGCATGAAAGCATTTAAATATGTCTCACAGTTATTGGCAGCTGATGTAAGACGATTTGAAGGTACTTTTTTTGAATATGCCAGTTGCCCCATTGACTGAAAAGATCCAGGTACGCTGAAATAACTGCTAGGTAGAGTGTAAATTGGTCCGTTTCATTAAACAGTTGAAATTTTTAGGTGATGTATTTGCGAATGACTTCGGGCACCGAAAATTTGCCCTGTGCCTATGCATACATCGAGTTCACCAATCAGCCAACAGTGCCGATTGCGTTGCAAAACAATGGGATTGAGTTCAAAGGACGCTGCCTACGGTTTGCCTTTCTCGATCTAATTCTTGCAGTAGTGCACATACCAGCCACCATCATTCCAAAGTACCGCGCCGAGGCTTAAGATAGAATGTTCTGTTTTGAACTGATACCGTTGTCTTCTTGCTGTAAAAGAAAACTGTCCGTATTTCTCCAGTTTTTGTCTTCGTAAAATAAACAAGAATTGAGAGAGAATTCCTCGTTTTTTTTTTTTTTTTCCATGGAAGTTAAGGACGAAATGAAGACATCGTAAGCCGCAGGAATTTGTCAAAAATTAAAATAAATAGCGGCGCGCAGCAGGGCAGACGGTGCGATCATGTGTTTTGTGCAGCTCTGTTCACCGAACGATTGCCTGCTAATGATTTGCACTGCTTTGCACTTCAGTGTGTGCAAAACTAGTTAAAATGTTGACTGGTTCTAAAGTTGCGGGATTTTCCACTAAAACTTCACGCACACGAGATAATAATTTCCCTGTCGAAACTTTCACAGGGCTGTACGTGGTACCCAGGGGTGCGTGAAGGTTGAGTCCAAATTTGCGAGGTCATACGTTTGTAAAGGAGATCATTTTAAAATTTCAGAGTCTCAACTTCCGCGGTCCCCAAGATAATAACTTTCCTCGCCGAAACTTCCAGGGAGCGTAAGTGATACTCGGACGGAGGACCGAATTTAAAATTATAGGATTGTGTATGGACAGAAGACATTACCATAAAATCTTAGTTTCCTGGCTTTTCTGGTTCTCGAGATAATAATTTCCCCGTAGAATTTTTCACGAAGACGTAGGCGACACCCGAGAGCGGGGGAAAGCTGAATTTGAATAAGCAAGATCAAGC